AGCGACCAGCACGGATCAGCTCCAGGCATGACGAAGCAAATATCGTCCTCTTTTTCAGATGATGTATAAATCTCAATTTCGAAAAATTGACCCTTATGACTGGTTTTGTGGTCCAGGGTCACATTTGTGTTATTTAACATATTTAATTATTGCAGGTTTGCATCATATTCTGAGTTTGCATTTCACTGTTTTTATTCATTTTGAGGAACACTGAATCTGTTTTTGTGCGAGTGAGATGAGTAAATGCATGTTCACATTTGGTCTAAATACAGTAAGCATCATGTTTACACAGCGCACACAATGCACTCACTCCCAATTTCTCTCAACATGGGAACAGGAGAGCTGTCAGTCAATTAAAAAAGTGAATGTTCTGTGTTTTTGACCCACATATGCATTTTATGGTTCAAAAATACAGGTTAATATTCTATTGGCAGTCTCTGTGTCATGACGTCTATTACCACAGACAATATTTTCTCTCACAACCGACTACAGTATAAATGTGGAATAATATATAAACACAATTATATACTAGTGTTTAATCAAAATAAAAGGAAAATTATGTAGTATTTGTATGTTCAAGACATAACTAAAAAAGGAATCATATTTACAAAAAAAAGTGCTCAGGTCAATTTCTAACATGCATCAGTGTTTTCCAACAATTACTGAGTATCTGAAATGTCTTCTCAGTCCATTAGTCTGCTTTCACCTTCGGCATGCAAGATGCCTCCTGACTGATCTGTGGTCCTGTCAGTCGCTCTCCTATGTTCCCACAGTACAGAAGAGAACGCATGGGCCATTTCTGTGAAAGAAGACAAGTCCATCACTATTTCTCCATGTATATATTAAATACACAAGATACTGAATCCCTTAGAAAACCTAGAAAAAATGTTACAATAATGTAAAACTTTAAATAGATAGCACTATATATCGATATGTAACATGCTATTTCTGACCGTGTTCTCCATTACATATTGACCTAATATTAACAAACATTCACCTTCACAGGATGCAGGTACTCTGCTCTCTGCAGGATGGTATGGTCCCCCAACATCCCACCCTGGTCCAGGGTTTCGGTCAGGTGGGCGATATAGTTGGTGGCCAGTACCAGGACGTCCAGCTTGGAGAGTTTTGTGTCGGGAGGGACGGAGGGTAAAGCAGCCTGCAGGCTGTGGAAGGCTTGTCTAAGGTTCCGAACACGACTCCTCTCTCTCGCTGCATTCTCAGGAGAGTTTTGGGTCTTACATGCTCTGGATGGAGTTGTCGGTTCAGACCTTACCTAAGACAATCAAAAAGGAATGAGCGAAAACTTCTTACCATGTCTTGTGAGTCTTTAGAGGTGGGTCCCATTTTATATTAGGTATCTTCAATTACTAGTTGTATCAAACTATACTAGTTATATGAAAAAATGGTTACACTTTATTTTACAGTACATGTACTTACGAAAGAAAGTACTGTAGTATAAGGCAGCTACATGGGTTAAGTTCCGGTTCAGGGTTAGTACCTAGTTATTATCCAGTTATTGTAATTAGTGTACACAAGGAACATGCATGTAAAATAAATGCTATCCAAAAAAGAATAATTGTTAGGTACGATGTATTTATTGTGTTCATATGGGATTGCAAAACACTTTTGCTGCTACTGATGTGGAATACGGGTAGGTTAGGCACGGGTTTAGTGGTATGGGTAAGTTTAAGGGTGGTTAAGGGGTCAACAGTGTAATTACAGATGCATTTACTTAAATTAATTACAGCCGTAATTATATGAATGTATTTTTAAAATACAAGTACAATGTAAATACCTTTGTCTACAACATAAATGCATTGTACACTTTGAAAAATGTTCTTTCAAAGTTGTAAATAAAATAAAGATTAATGGATTACATTTTACAACAAAATACTAGTTTTTAATTAGTTTACTTAGTTATAATTAGTTTTTCTACTTTAAAATTTCATGTTTAATTTATGTTACTTGGTGTTTCTTTGTAATGTTTTGTGAAATGTAGCTATTTCTGAGACAAAATTGCTTCTACACATTTTTAGTGTATCAAAAGATTAATTTTAACATTAGTACATAGTATTTAAATATAATCTAAAGTGGGTTTGAAATCTGTTACGGACCACTGATGAAAAAGCTTTTATTTTGCCTTTTTTATTGTAATACAAACTTTTCATTATAAATTATATTATCAGAAAAGTTGAAATTAAATATTTCAGAAAATTTTAGTATAATACAAAGTTTTTTTTAAAATATATATTTGTAATAGTTTTCGAAATAATATTTATTTAATAATATTATTTATAATTTATTTTTCATTTTTATTTGTTAATATTTATTTATAATAATATTTATTTATTAATACAAAAAAAATTCAACATTCTGTACTGAAGTAATTTGGAACTAATTTGTGAAAAGCCACGATATTCACTTTTGATGCGCATGTTGATACACAATAAAACCCAACTCATGATGTCTTATTTCTCTTCATAACCAAACGGTTTAAATCCTTTTGAGCGCAAACCACTTCATCCACTTCTTCCTTCACTCACCCACTTCTTTGGCTCTCGATGTGTTCCCTGTTTCATGCATGGTTGTGTCCATCTCTGTTAATACAAAAAAAATTCAACATTCTGTACTGAAGTAATTTGGAACTAATTTGTGAAAAGCCACGATATTCACTTTTGATGCGCATGTTGATACACAATAAAACCCAACTCATGATGTCTTATTTCTCTTCATAACCAAACGGTTTAAATCCTTTTGAGCGCAAACCCCTTCATCCACTTCTTCCTTCACTCACCCACTTCTTTGGCTCTCGATGTGTTCCCTGTTTCATGCATGGTTGTGTCCATCTCTGTGTCCGCACAATCTTTCTTCCTATCTCTCTTCTCTCCAGTGCCACATCCTCTTCCAGCGCTCGCTCTGCCATGAGAACCACCGGCCAGACCACCGAAACAGTGTGTAAATGACAGCATTTGAGCGTTTCCTTCGAAATGCTTGAAGGGGTTCGGCCCTCTCCTCCACCCAAAGGCCCAATGTCCACCCCGCTCGGCTCCATCCCCTCCCTCTGCCTTATCTGGTGAGGTAATGTGGGGATCTTTAAGCGGTACGTTATCTCTCAAACTGCCTCCCACGGGTGCTCACTGCCAAGGGAGCAGACTCAGGAGAGTTGCATGGTGTCCCCAGGCAGGTCTGCAACAGCGGAGAGTCTTGGGAAAAACAGAGAGGCCTCTCGCAGCTGCGGACCCACAGCAGACACAACCTTGACCCCTCAGCCTGCTGGGACGACGTGACCTAAACAATGCAAAGTTACTATGTTGGCTGTCAACTTGATGGGTGTTGATCAGACTGCTTGGGACATGTTTGTCAAGGATGTCTGGATAAAGAGATGTGATGTTGTGCGTAAACATGAAATATTGCTGTTCGGAACTGTGATGTACAAGAGCACAACAACAGGAAGTAGAAGGACATGGCTTTTTAAAAAGAATAAATACATATCACATGTGCTGTTTAACGGCTACTGGCTGACAAGACATCACATATTTGAAAAGAACGCAGGAAAATGGAACAAAGATCCTCTGTACTTGCGCAATTTATTGAACTATGGATTCAGAATTTCTAGTGATTAGTTGCGTCTTTAGTCTGTGCTATAATATTCAAATATACTTCCCAAAAGGAAACGTTATTGATCAGAGGTTGTTCTTTCATAGCTCGAGATATATACAGAAATGTATACATATATACGTATTTACATTGAAATGTTATTTTCTTCCGTAGAGAGCATGAGGGAAATCCTGGCAGAGCATGTCCAGGTCGCATTTCACCCAAAAATCAATATACATTCTTGGGCCAAAAAAGAGGCTAAACACTAAGCTTTGTTTTTAACATTGAGCTAATAGTTTTAACCGCATGAATGAACATCCGAGGGTATGTAAAAGATAGACTATGAAAGATAGACTACAACTTACTTAATGTACTGTATAGTGTCTCATGTAATCACTCAATGAGTGTTTCAACAGCGGAAAGACAGCAGCTTGAAAACACTGTCTCATAACCTCAGAAAATACATTCAGTGTCCATAAACTAGCAAGAAAATTGTACGGTAGAGAGGAGAATTTTTCAAAAATTACATTTATTATATTTTTTATTCATAATTACTCTTTTTTAGTATAATTAATAAAAATGTATAGATATAGCGCTATTATAAAAATGGTATAATATGAACTTGTATACGAATCAATTGTTACTTTTAACCTTAAAGGGGTCATATGATGTTGCTAAAAAGAACATTATTTGGTGTATTTGGTGTAATGAAATGTGTTTATGCGGTTTAAGGTTAAAAAAACATTATTTTCCACATACTGTACATTATTGTTTCTCCTCTATGCCCCGCCTTTCTGAAACGCGTCGATTTTTACAAAGCTCATCAGTCTGAAAAGCGAGGTGTGCTGTGATTGGAAAGCTATCCAGTGCGTTATGATTGGCCGAATACCTCAAGCGTGTGACGGAAATGTTACGCCCCTTACCATATTGTGATGATGCCCTGTCAGGCCGGAGCGATGATTCAAAAACAATAAAACCCATTATTGGGTTGAACTGTTCTGGAACAGTGTTGTAAATACAACTTAACCACTGACTTCTAGTCGTGTCCTCTTTTGGAAGGCCAAACGAAACTTTGTTGTTTCACAACGAAAACTTGTAACACTCCAAAGAGAAAGGAAAAACTGAAATCGCATCATATGACCCCTTTAGGGGGCTCCCTGTATAGCCTAGTTTAGTTTAGAAAAATTGAAAAAAATATTTCCATTGTGCAGCATCTCGTTGTGTTATTTTATATGGATTTACATTGAATCAAACATACTTTACAACATTTATACCGTCTTCTCACTAAAAAAAAATCCACAGAAACTTTAGTAGTACAGTATGGAGCTCAAGTCAGACATGAACAGTTGCAAGCGCACTTGTCGACCATCGATTGCTCTGTGATCGACTCTCATGTCTCCCACCCGCAAGCATTGGGGGAACCACATGGTGGCAAAGTGTCTCCGTACAGAGTGAAGTTCTCCACGGATCAGATGTGTTTTCTAAATAGTTACAGTCTAACAAGATAAAATGTCGCAGGTACAGGCCCGGTTCTTCACCGAAAACAAAAAGTGAGTATATTTGATGTGCATAATACAAATAGCTGAAACGTTTAGCTTAGCTAGATAAGAGATATCCAGTTGATTTTTGCTTGGTAGTATTCATAGTGTTGTTCATATAGCGAAAATAGCTTCTTTATAAGCTATGCTCAGAATTATCTGGGTATTTAACGGTTTTTAAGTGAAATAGATGTAGGCTGTGTTTGTACGTGATGGAAGATGTTCTCCTCATGCTCTTCTCTGTAGGTATCTGATAGATGATGTTCCGTTCTCCATCCCTGCTGCCTCTGAGGTGGCGGATCTCAGTGGTGTCATCAACAAGCTGCTGGAAGCCAAGAATGGTCAGCTTGTTTACCATGCGGTTATTTTAATCACGTGTTTTCACCTTGTTATGCTGCAGGACTTCCTAAAAGTCATTTTCCAAAAATTGTGTGGAATCTATTAATAAGACGCTAACCGATTTAAGGATCATAGACTGTATTACAGAAACTTCCTGTCATAATTATTGAAAATGTCCAAAGTGAAATAGCCATGGTTACAAAACAGGTAGGATGTTTCTGTAATACAGCCCCTGACTGTATTTTCCTTGTAGTTTTCTTAGATTAGATTCACATCACTTGTGTGTCTTTTTACAGATGGACACAAACATGTCGAGTTTGATTTCCTGGTTCGAGGTCAGTTTCTCCGCACTTCACTGGCCAGTCACATGGAGAAAGAGAACATCTCAACGGTATGGCAGTGCATTTAATTTAATCTCGCAAGCACACGTCTATACAGTCTGTTCACTGGCCCTGTGATACATATTTTGCGCACAAAAATTACAAGCACAAATCAGATTTCTTGACAGTAAAGTATCATTTCAGTCAAACTATTTGAGACTGAATTTAAATGGATAGTTAAACCAAAAATGAAAATTCTGTCATAATTTAGTCACCCTCATAAAACGTCTGTTTATCTTTGGAGCTCAAATTTCTATTTCCAAATAAATGTTTCTTTGAACTGTCTCTTCATCAAAAATCCTGAAAAAAAAAGTAAAACGGATATAAAAATATTAAGCAGGACAACCGTTTTCAATACTAGATTAAATATTTCTTGAGCATCAAATCAGCATATTAGAATGATTTCTGTATGATCATGTGATACTGAAGATCCCTAAATAAATCACAGGAATAAATTACATTTAAAAAATGTATTACAAAAGAAAAACGTTATTTCAGATTGTAGTAATATTTTACAATATTACCGTTTTAATATTCTCTCATCATTTTTATCTATCCATTGAAAGTCCATGCAAACAAAATCTTCAAAAAGTAAAAAAATGACACTGTAAAAATAATCCATATGAATTGGTGTAATTGTTTAGCCTTTTCAAGCTGTTTTTAACAGTTAAACTGCTATGAGAACTTGCAAAAATATATTTGCAGGTTTGGTTACATGCTCATCTGTGTTGTGTGTGTGTGTGTGTGTTAACAGGAAGAAGTGGTGGAAATAGAATATGTCGAGAAGTTCACAGCCCCACAGCCGGAGGAGTGTATCATGCATGATGACTGGATCAGCTCGGTGGAGGCAGATTCTGAATGGTGCGTTTCATGCGAAACTAAACCGAAGTCAAAATTTGATTTGCTTGGACAGATTTGTGGCTGATCTATTAAACTCGTTCCTCTGGCCGAATCCCAGGATCCTCACAGGCTCTTATGATAAGACTGCACGGATTTGGTCTATGGAAGGGAAGGCTGTGATGACTGTGGCTGGACACACTGATGTTGTGAAGGATGTAGCCTGGATGAAGCGAGGTGAGAATCTTCAAACTGGATCATTAGTGCATTAATTTAATAGATCACCAGTATGAGATGCCTAATATGTATTTGAATGTATGAATCTGAGAGTTAATGATGCATGAGATTTCTGTCAGTTCTACCTGTGTTTGATGCTTCTGTGCCTTCTAGATGGTCTGAGCTCTCTGCTCCTGACCGCATCTCTGGATCAAACAATCATGTTGTGGGAGTGGAATTCCGAACGGAACAAAGTGGAGGCCCGACACTGTTGCCGTGGACACGCAGGAAGTGTAGACACAGTTGCCGTCGACCCCACTAGGACGAAGGTTTGTGTGTTGTTGCTAGTCTTTTTTTTTGTCAGTTTGTCTTCCCTGTATTATGTACTAGAAGATTTTTTTTTTTTAAGAAATTAATATTCAGCAAGGATGCATTAATCAAAAGTGACAGTAAAGATATTTGTAATGTCACAAAAGATCTCTATTTCAAATAGTTGCGGTTTATTTAAACTTTCAATTAATTAAAGACTACTGAAAAAAATGTGTAACTGTTACCACAGAAATATTAAGCAGCAACTGTTTTCAACATTCATACTAATCAGAAATGTTTCTCGAGCACAAAATCAGCATATTAGAATCATTTCTGAAGGATCATGTGACACTGAAGAGTAATGGCTGCATTGCCATCACAGAAATCACAGGAATAAATTACATTTTAAAATATGTTTTAAAAAACAGTTATTTTAAAATGAAATAATATTTTACAATATTACTGTTTTCACTGTATTTTTGATCAAATAAATGCAGCCTTGGTGAGCATAAGAGACTTCTTTCAAAAACATAAAACAATTTCTTACCAACACGAAACTTTTGAACGGTAGTGTATGCATATTTTAGTTTTTATTTTTAAAGGTAATACCGGTGATGATGATAATATTAACCAAAAATAACGTCATGCATTTGATTTACTCTACATATGTGTGTCTCATGTTTTGTTTTCTCTTCAGTTTTGCAGTGGCTCATGGGACAAAATGCTTAAGATATGGTCAGCAGGTATGTTTTCTTTGGAACCTTCGTTCTGTGAGATGTTTAATTCAAAAAGACAAGATAAACATTCAAGTTCAAAAAAGGAAACAATGAAATGATGTAAGATAATACATTAAAAAAAAAAACTGACTTGTATTGTTGTTGTCCTCAGTGCCAACAGTGGAAGAGGATGAGATCGAGGAACCCAACAGGCCACGCAAAAAACAGAAAACAGAGCAGATGGGGCTCACACGGGTTAGTGTCTATGCATCCTCATGACACAGAGACTCTTGTTATTAATTAATGCTTTTCAGTTTTATAAATGCTTGTTATTCTGCTTTAGACTCCCCTCATGACTTTCTCTGGTCATAATGAGGCAGTGTCCTCTGTGCTCTGGGTGGATGCTGAGGAGCTCTGCAGTGCATCATGGGATCACACCATCCGTCTATGGGATGCAGAGACTGGCGAGCAGAAGAGTACACTAGTGAGTGACACCAGTTAGATCCGTTTGTTTTTTATTTGAAAGTGATTGTAATTATTTTTTTTGCTTTTCATATAAACTTCCTTAAAAAAACCCTGACCCTCTAAAACTTACACTCTCTATTCTATTTCTATTCTTACTACTTGTCTTCTTTAAAAAAAAAAAAAAAAAAAAAGACCCTCTAACGCTAGCGTTCCCTATTCTTTTTCTATTCTATCTACTTTATTATAAAAAATATATATATTTTTTTATTACTTTATTATAAAAAAAAACCTTGCAATGTGTAATCGCATTAGGCTAACCGAGACTTGTCACAGCACTTACATATTATTGCCCTTTTGTTGGTTTTGATTGTTTCTATTGTCCTCATATTTGTAAGTCGCTTTGGATAAAAGCGTCTGCTAAACGACTAAATGTAAACGTAAAACATAAAATTAACATTTTTAGTTCTCTAGTGGCTGTATTTCACAGATATGGACAAGAGAGCATAAGTAAAGTTATATAAAGTTTATAAATAGCTATTTATAAATAATGAATATTGATAATAATAAATGCTGATGTTTATAAATAACAATTTATAAAACATATTGAAGTTATATATGTATTTTATAAATTATGTATTATTATTTATAAATGGCAGTTTATACTTATTTTTACCTATAACTAAGTTGTTGTTTTTTTTGCTTATTTATAATAAATACAATAATAATCATTATTATTATTATTATTTTTTTTTTTATAATTATTATGATGGATGGGGGATTCTGGACAAGTAAAGCGTTTAATTTTGCACCACTTGTGTCACCAAGCATAAAATAACGTCTGTTTTCAGACATGTTTCCCAAACAGACAAACAGAAAGTTCCATCTTAATCATACACCACTGGTTGAGCCATTGGTCTGTTGGGCTGATCGGGATGCTCATTTATACAGCAATATGTTAAAAGCACCACCATGTTTTCCGTTTGCTACTACTAGTCTCTGCTTATTAAGTTGGGTCAGGAGAAAGTATTTTAAGAAATGAAAAATATGTACACATTACCTTTAAGGACTGCTGGATTTACAGACCGATGTTCTTGTATTGCAGACGGGCAGTAAGGTTTTCAACTCTATCTCATACTCTCCACTGTGTCGCCGTCTGGCCTCGGGCAGCACCGACAGACATGTGCGTCTATGGGACCCAAGATCTAAAGGTGACTATCAGAGATCCCATATAATGATGCCCTCTCATCCAAACAGTTATTTTAATTGCTCATATCTCTCTCTTTTTTTTTTTTCCCAGACGGCTCTCTAGTTCTCCTGTCTCTGACGTCCCATAACGGTTGGGTGACAGCGGTCAGGTGGTCTCCATCGCACGAGCATCAGCTTGTGTCAGGATCTCTAGATAATGTGGTCAAACTGTGGGACACAAGGAGGTGTGTGACTTACAGATACATTATAACCCAAAACCATCCTGTTCCCGCATATCTGTCCCTAACAGTCCTGGTTTCTTCTTTACAGCTGTAAAGCTCCACTCTATGATCTTGCTGCCCATGAAGACAAAGTTCTGTGCGTTGACTGGACAGAGAATGGGGTACGATAAACCATACAAATATTTGTCTGTTTTATTAGCACTGTTAAATACCCAAAGAAATCACATAGGTTGTTCACACCAAGATGAATACTTTGTGTGATAAACATTTTATTTTGAGCTAGATAGTAAAGTTTGTAGACAAACTTTGATGTTGGCTTACAGATACATTATAACCCAAAACCATCCTGTTCCCGCATATCTGTCCCTAACAGTCCTGGTTTCTTCTTTACAGCTGTAAAGCTCCACTCTATGATCTTGCTGCCCATGAAGACAAAGTTCTGTGCGTTGACTGGACAGAGAATGGGGTACGATAAACCATACAAATATTTGTCTGTTTTATTAGCACTGTTAAATACCCCAAGAAATCACATAGGTTGTTCACACCAAGATGAATACTTTGTGTGATAAACATTTTGTTTTGAGCTAGATAGTAAAGTTTGTAGACAAACTTTGATGTTGGCTTGGGAAAGCCTAGCCTGAAAGTTTAAAATAGTTCCAAAAATTTAAAAAAGATGGGATGATAGCATGATTTAACACACTGCTAGCATGTTTTATCTCATAGGTAGCATGTTTTATAGCATGATTTATCACACTGGTAGCATAACTTAGCAGGTTGCTATCATGTTTCTAGCATGATTTAACACTGCTAACATGTTTTAGCACGTTGCTAATATGAAACAAAAGAATGTTTATGTGAACAGGCTTTTAGTTTACATCGGTTAGCTTTGAGGCTATCAAAGTGCTAGCATGCTCAGACAATTTTTCAAAATTTGGGAAATAAAAACAGTATTGATGACTGAAGTTAGGGGCAAGTGTTTGTCCGATAAAATGCAGTCTAGAATGGCAGTGTCTCTTCTCCCTAAAATATGAATAGCGCTTGCTTCCGACTATCAATTTCTATAGTCACAAAAAATGAGTTGTTGGTTTGCGCGACTAACAATTGTTTATGGTGAAATGCCTGGAATATGTTCATTTTGAAAGTGTCCATATTTATCCATAGTACACAGCATTGGTTCTCAACCAGGGGCCCTCAACAAATTACCAATAAGTCCGAAAATTGTTTACATGTACTAATATTAACAATTTTAATTAAAATGCTAAAAACACTAAATATAAAGATGTACAACATTAAACTGGCATCATATTCCCAATACAGCGTCTGAAACCAGTCATGTGTCAGGCTTTAGTCTGTTGCCTTTTCATATATAACAAATATTATAAAATGATACATTTGTTAAATTGGTTAGTTGTGTGGTAAATTGGTAAACTGAAGTATTCTGTAGTTTTAATACACATAACGCCCTGTCATTAAATATTATACTTTTCCAAATAATGCTGATCTTTGGACTGTATTAAAGTGAAATAAATTCTAAATGACATTTAAAATGGCGACGGCGTTTTATTTCACCACAGTTCGAATATTTTAGTCAGTTGTTATTGGACAGTTTTTTGATAGCAGTCAGTGACGTTTGCGCGCCTGCACATCCAGCCGGCAGGTGGCGCTACTGTTGTGGGCTGCTTTACATTTCTCAAGCGTTTTATCCGTAGAGAAAGCGCGTTCTGATCTGGACATGGTCGTGAGAGCGGTGGCGTCTCAATAAATCCTCCTGCGTTTTTGTTATTAAAGTGTGATTAACCATCACTGAATTCACAATAGGGGAGTGTTTTCTAGGGCTGACACCATGGGAAAGAAAGATAAGAGTGATCGAGGTAAGATGGATGAAGTATGCATTTTTAAATAGAAATTACATTATGTAATTATGAAATTACATATAAAGATGTACTTGATTCCCAAAGGGATCAAGAAAGCACTGAAATGAAATGTAATGAAAATTATGTCAAAAAACATTGCATTCCAGGTCACACTTAAGCATTCTAGGCATTAAGTAATAGGCACTCTTTATAAAGTATGTTCAAATGTACATTTTTCACAGGGAGTTAAGTGTAGATTCAGATATTGTTTCTAAATGCTGTTAACTTACATTATCACTAAAGACGCCTGACCCAGCGAGGTCTTCAGGTTCTTTTTGGAACTCACAGACAAGGTTTAAACTAAAACCAGATCTCCAGTAGCAGGATTGATCATCACTAGTCTAAATAGCTGAAATGGTTGTTTGTTCACTTTAGATAAAAAGTCCAAGAAACGTTATTATGATGAGGAAGAGGATGATGAAGAGGTGATGGGCAGTGAGTCTCAGGAGGCTGTTCCAGCAGCTGCTGGGAAGCAGGTGGATGAATCCAGCACTAAACTGGATGAGTATGGAGCCAAAGACTACAGACTACAGATGCTTCTCAAGAATGACCACACTTCCCGGCCCCTATGGGTGGTAAGACTAAAGATCCTTGATTTATTAGGAATGATCACTCTTCCCGGCCCCTATGGGTGGTAAGACTGTAGATCCTTGATCCTTGCCAAGTTTTGATTTTTGACCAAGTGACATGGGAACGAAAAGGGAGAATTTGAGATTTTTTTGTTTTGTTTTATTGCCTAAATAATAATTTATCACTTGGTGTAGAGATGTCTCAGGACCTATATTTTGCTTCAAATATACCGTCTTTAGTGCTTTACAGAAAGCTATATTTGTTATAATCTTAACTTGCCTAGATCTAAAGTTGAACTATCATTATCCCTATGTTTGACTCTCTAGGCTCCAGATGGTCACATCTTCCTAGAGGCTTTCTCTCCCGTGTATAAATATGCTCAGGACTTCCTGGTGGCCATATCAGAGCCGGTGTGCAGACCTACCCATGTGCACGAGTACAAGCTGACAGCTTATTCTCTATACGCCGCTGTGAGCGTCGGCCTGCAGACCTCTGACATCATAGAGTACCTGCAGAAACTCAGCAAGACCTCTGTGCCAGACGGCATAGTGCAGTTTATTAAGGTGTGTGTGAGCTGGCAGTGAAGTCTGTATGAACCTTGTGGGACCCATCCACACTCTTAAACCAATGCATGACTATTATTACGACTATTGTTGGCTCTAATTGCTTTGCTGCTCTTTTGTGAGTCGCTTAGGATAAAAGCATCTGGTAAATGCATAAATGTAATATAAAAATGATTTTTTAAATTTCTATGTAACAAAGCCACTAATTTACTCTATCTTCTCCTGCAGTTGTGCACAGTGAGCTACGGGAAAGTCAAACTAGTCCTGAAGCACAACAGGTCAGTTCATTTTGCACAGATTTTTAGTAACTTCTTACTAAAGAAAGGTTAGAAAATGAGTTGCGTAAGAGCACGTTGTAGATTGAATATTATATATACAGTCTATTGAATGATTTAGATGTCAGTTTATTATTGGACAGTGGGTGGCATTTTGAGCACAGCTGATAGTATTTAGATAAGAGGAAGTCGGGTGTTGTTTGACTGGGGATACTCTTTGGATTCACTTGAACTTGGATGTGAACTATTAGTTTTGAATTGTAAGATTGGATGCGCTTGATTCTGAATCGTCAATTGTGAAATGTAATTGTTTATTTTGGACTACCGTTCGAAAGTTTGTGGTCATTAAGATTTTTTAAGTGTTCGAAAGGAGTGTCATGCTCACCAAGGCTGCATTTATTTGATCAAAAATACAGTAAAAACAGTAATATTGAAATATAATTCGAATTTAAAATAACTTTTTTTGAATGCTATTTTTTCAGTCTTCAGTGTCATATGATCCTTGAGAAAACATTCTAATATGCTAATTTTTAACACTTATTATTATCAATGTTGAAAAACATTTTGCTGCTTAATATTTTTGGAAACTATTTTTTTTCTCAGGATTATTTAATGAATGGAAAGTTAAAAACACATCATTCATTTGATCATCAATATTTTTGTAACATTGTAAATGTCTGTCACTTTTAATCGATTTAATGCATCCTTGGCTTGTATGTTAAAAGTATTAATTTCTGGTATTACATTTTTTTTTTTTACTGACCACAAATTTTCCTTAAAAAGTCCTTAAAAACTTGACTGTGCAACAATCACATGCCATTGATAGTGCAGATGGTTAAGTTTTTGTGTGTGTGTGTGTGTTGAGAACAGGTACTTTGTGGAGAGTGCTTTCCCTGATGTCATTCAGAGGCTCTTACAGGACTCTGTGATTCGGGACTGTCGTCTTCGGTCTGCTGAGGGTGAGGAGACTGAGCTCATCACTGAGACCATCTCTAGTAAACCAGCAGTGAGTATGAGCACAAAACATGTTGCTTGGGTGTAAACATAATGACATTAAAACATTCCCAGTGGAGCAAAAGGCTCATATCTGTTACCAAAACCTGTTGTGTCGTCCTGTCTAGATCTCAAAGTCTCAGCAGGACAATGGTGGTCCATCCACCTCCCAGCCTTCAGATGGGCAGCGCACAGGAAATCAAGTGCCAGAGGACATCTTCAGTTACTACGAACAGATGGATAAAGAGGAGGAGGAGGAGGATGAGACACAAACAGTGTCATTCGAGATCCGTCAGGTGTGTGTCTGCGCTTGAATGAGAATGTTACTTCATTGTGTATTAAAGGTTCATTTACCTTGACTGTTCCTCTGACAGGCTTGGTTGAGTTTAAACGGTTTGTGTTGGCTATCCTTTAGATTAGAGCATTCAGTGAAGACTTCATGCATATTAGTCTTATTCATTCTTTATATTTGTGCTTGCCCTTATTAGGAAATGATAGAGGAGCTTCAGAAACGTTGCATTCAGTTGGAGTATCCCCTCCTGGCTGAGTATGACTTCCGTAACGACACGGTGAACCCAGACATCAACATGGACCTGAAGCCCACCGCTGTGCTGAGACCATATCAGGAAAAGAGTCTGAGGAAGATGTTTGGGAACGGCAGAGCTCGATCTGGAGTCATCGTACTGCCTTGTGGTAAACAGTCTCTCAACATATGTACAGTGTTTGAGCCATTTCTTCCCAGAAGCCATTGATGCCTAGTCCTGGAATGTAGGGGGCTGTGCATCCACAGCCAACAAAACAGACAAGACTTTGGAATATGTAATAATGATTGTGACGAGTGGGGGCGGGGCCGAGA